CATTGCATTGCATTGTTTATACTTGGAATTGACTTGTATGTTGTATTTGATCCCCTACGTTGTATGATCCCTATCTCCCATTGGCCTATGCTTTGCTTGAATTCACAAGGACACAAGATTTGTGTCTTAAGTGTCACCTACTGAGCATATAGCTCACCCTACTATTTATACATTTTTTTCAGGTCTTGGAAAAGAACCGGTGGACGACAACCCACCTCAAGCTTGAGCGATACTACAAGCTCACTTTTGTGTCTTTTGTATATCTCCTATTATTTTTGCAGAGCACTAAAAGTGTGAAGGTGTATATGTATATTTTGCAAAAACTTTGTCATGTAATGTAATTAAGGTATTTGATGATATTTTGGATGTGAATTTGATAGCATGTAAACCTTATTGATGAATGGGGAGAGTAATACTAGTTTGAAGTATTATTGAAGTCATTTGATTGTGTATCATCATCTACTATTGCCGTGAATTCGGAATTTGAGCCATGACAGGTTAAAAATGCAATTAAACAGGTTGTGATAGGCCTATTTTTAGGGGAGGTTATGCCGAATTTTTTGTAAAATTCTTGGCATCAGCTAGGGTCGTTACAAAATTTGGTATCAGAGCAAAGGTTCGAAAACCTTTAGGACGACGGGTAGAGGCCTACATAGAGTCGCATGGAATGTTGTTTGTGTTGCTTACTTGACTACTTGCTACGTGGTATCTTATTTAAATGAGCATGCTTAATTGCCTATGTGCTTACTTGCTTACTTGTTTATGTTAAAATGTTTCTTGTATAGTCTTGCATGCTAAGTGTTGTACGGTCTTAATTCTTGTTGAGTCGTCCACAGTGGACCTTAGTGTCATATTTCTGAATCGTTTTCTCGTTTTATAACACGATGTCACGGCGTGAGGAACCTAGAGAAGTTGGCCCTAGGCCAACAAGGGGCGATGTTGGTGAGAGCTCTAGCTCCAATCCGGCAGAGCCAGTTGATGAGAACATGCTTCTTAGGGACTTGATTCCCCCAAGAGCTGTTCCCCCAAGAAGAGAGAATGTTGAAACACCGGCACCTGTAGAAGTGGGTAAATGTTCTGTGGCACTAGAGTTGAATCAATTGTTGCAAAATGCTGTGAGAGCAACTATTGTTGCTCAGCCGCAGTTGGTACCACAACCTACAGTTCGAGTTGAGGAGACTCCAACTCAGAAGCGTCTCAAGATCATTAAGGGGTTTTCTCAGTTGATGCCAGTAATGTTTGAGGGCAGTACGGATCCAATGGTAGCCGACAACTACATGGATCAAGTCGAAACTCAGTTGACCTCAATGGATGTGACAGAGGATCACTTGAAGATCATCCTAGCAACTTACAAGTTTGCTATGGATGCCAAGGTTTGGTGGAAGTCGATCACCAACCAGTACAAGATTGAAGAGATGAGCTGGGACAGGTTCAAGGAACTGTTCTATGAAAAGTACTTTCCGCTTTCCAAAAGATGGGAGTTACAAGACCAGTTTCATAATCTTATTCAATGGAACATGTCAGTGGCGGAGTATGAGAACAAGTTCACCTCACTCTCCTGTTTTACTCTAGAAGTGGTGAGAGATGAAGCTAACAAGACTCGGAAGTTTGTCTCGGGTCTTAATGATCGAATGAGGCCGTTGATCATGGCACAATTTATTAAGGTTTACTCTGAAGCAGTGGAAAGGGCTTTGATACTGGAGGTTGACAATAGAGAGAAGGATGCAAGAAGAGAACAATTGAAGCAAAAGAGGGGTGCAGGGCCATCCTCAGAGGGACCTTCTTGGAAAAGGAATAGGGGCAGTCCATCTCAGTTTCAGGGGCAACAGTTTACAAGATCTGCTCCTACCACTCCTATGCCAGCTGGATCTGATAGGAGTGCAGTTGTTTGTTATCAGTGTCAGCAGCCCGGACATTACAAGTCCAGTTGTCCGATGAGATCGTCTTTAGTTTCGTCAGCTCTGAAGGCTTGTTATGGGTGTGGCCAGCAGGGTCACTTGATTCGTGATTGTCCGAGTTAGAGAGCAGGCACCATTAGTGGCAGAGGGTCACAGCAGAGGCCGTCACAATCGGCTACAGTTCAGTCAGGTTTCAGACCACCACCACCACAGTCTACTATGTCTTCACAGGGTTCACGATCAGTTAGGAGGGATACTCCTACTATGTCAGTGCAGCAGTCAGGTGTTCAGGTTGGCAGTCCTCAGGCACAGGTACCACAGGGACGTGTTTTTGCACTGGCACAGATCGATGCATCTTCTGGACCGTCAGTTCTTCGAGGTATATTTCTAGTGTTTGGTTGTTGGGTCCGTGTTTTGTTTAACTCTGGTGCATCTCATTCTTTCATTTCATCATCATTTGCACTTGCATCGGGGTTGGAGGTTAGTTTCATGGATCGGGCGTTATGTGTTGATACGCCAGTTGGGGTTTCAGTGTCATTGAGCCGAGTTGTGCGAGATTGCTCCATTGTGATAGCCAGGCGGACCTTTGTGTTTGACCTTATCCTCCTGGAGATGACTAGCTTTGATGTCATTCTTGGGATGGATTGGTTGGCCTTCTTTCATGCCACGATCGATTGTTTCAAAGGGAGAATTACAGTTTGCACTCCCGAGGGAGACTGTTTCTTTTTCATGGGAGATCGGAGTGATTCCCACATTTCATCGTCTTATGGAGTTCGTGGACGAAGTCATGGTGATTATTTCTTAGCTAGCCTTTTAGCTGAAGAAGATGATGTCGTGGGAGAAGTTTATCCGGCGATCGTTTGTGACTTCTTGGATGTTTTTCCAGAGGATTTGACAGAGTTGCCTTTACACCGAGAAGTGGAGTTCACTATTGATTTGATGCATGATACTGCGCCGATTTCTATGGCACCGTATCGTATGGCACCAGTTGAATTGGAAGAATTGAAGAGGCAGCTTGATGATTTGAGGATGAAAGGTTTCATCCGACCGAGTGTGTCACCGTGGGGCGCACCGGTCTTGTTTGCTAAGAAGAAAGATGGTTCGTTGAGGTTGTGCATTGATTATCGGAAGTTGAATCATGCCACCATCAAGAACAAGTATCCTTTGCCAAGGATAGATGATTTATTTGATCAGTTGAGGGGAGCCAGTTATTTCTCGAAGATTGACTTGAGGTCTGGCTATTATCAGTTGCGGGTTAGGGATGAGGATATTCCGAAGACAGCATTCCGTACACGGTATGGACACTATGGGTTCCTTGTTATGCCTTTTGGCTTGACTAATGCGCTAGCTGCATTCATGGACTTGATGAACCGCGTCTTTCACGATTACTTGGACCAGTTTGTGGTAGTTTTCGTGGATGACATTCTTGTGTACTCACGGACTCGGGAAGATCACGAGGTCTATTTGAGTATTGTTTTACAGATTTTGCGGGAACACCGATTGTATGCCAAATACGAGAAATGTGAGTTTTGGCTACATGAGGTGAAGTTTTTGGGGCACGTTGTTTCAGAAGGTGGAGTGTCAGTTGATCCATCAAAGGTTGAAACAGTTTTGACTTGGGAGCAACCCAAGAATGTGTTTGAGATCCACAGTTTTCTTGGTTTAGCGGGTTACTATCGGAGATTTGTGAAGGATTTCTCCCGTTTGGCAGCTCCTATGACCCATTTGACCCGGAAAGGGGTCAAGTTTGTCTGGAATGAGGCCTGTGATTCATCATTTTAGGAGTTGAAGACGAGATTGACTACAGCTCCAGTGTTGGTGATACCTGAGCGAGGCTTGGGTTATGTGATCTATTGTGATGCTTCACGTGACGGGTTGGGATGTGTGTTGATGCAGGATGGTAGAGTAGTGGCTTATGGGTCTCGACAGTTGAAGACTCACGAGCTTAACTACCCTACTCATGATCTGGAGTTAGCGGCAGTTGTGTTTGCCTTGAAGTGTTGGAGACATTATTTGTATGGTGAGAGATTCGAGGTATACTCGGATTATAAAAGTCTCAAATACCTTTTTTCCCAAAAGGACATGAACAAAAGACAGAGACGATGGGTTGAGTACTTGGAAGATTACAACTTTGATTTGCAGTATCATCCGGGCAAGGCAAATGTTGTAGCTGATGCCTTAAGCCGAAAATCTCGTGGAACTTTGGCCAGTTTAGCTATTCGGAAGTGGAAGATGCTTAAAGATCTGGCAGAGATGGGATTACAGTGTTTTGATGATGATGGTTACAGTGTGTCGGCATTCTTATTTAGTCTTGTGGCTCAGCCTACTCTTGTTATACGAGTGATTGAGTCACAGAGACAGGATCCAGACTTAGATGCCATCCACGCTTTGATTTCTAGTGGTGAGACAGTGAAAGATTGGGTCTTGCATGTAGATGGGGGTCTACGGTTCAGGGGTTTGTTGGTGGTTCCCACAGTATGTCGTGAGGATGTCCTACGGGAGTTTCACACTTCTCGTTTTGCAGTTCATCCAGGTGGTACTAAAATGTATCACAATTTGAGACGTCAGTATTGGTGAAGTGGGATGAAGAATGATGTTGCACAATTTGTGGCTAGATGCCTTACCTGTCAGCAGGTGAAGGCCGAGCATCAGAGGCCAGTAGGTTTGTTGCAACCATTACCCAATGGAAATGGGAGCATATTGCTATGGATTTTGTGACAGGTTTTCCAAGGTCAAGGAGGGGCAATGAGGCCGTATGGGTCATCATTGACAGATTGACCAAGGCGGCTCACTTTTTGCCTATTAAGGCAACAGATGATGCAGAGAAGCTTGGTGTTCTTTGTGTGAAGGAGATTGTAAGGTTGCATGGAGTTCCAGTAACCATTGTTTCAGATAGGGATGCTAAGTTCACTTCGAAGTTCTGGGAAGGACTTCAAGCAGCGTTTGGTTCAACGTTGCATCTTAGTACGGCATTCCATCCACAGATAGACGGTTAGTCGGAGCATACTATCCAAATTTTGGAGGACATGCTTCGGGCATGTGTGCTTGATTTGGGAGGTAGTTAGGAGGATCACCTTCTACTTATTGAGTTTGCCTACAACAACAGTTATCAGGCGAGCATCCAGATGGCTCTATTTGAGGCGTTGTATGGTAGACCTTGTAGGTCTCCTGTTTGTTGGACTGAGGTAGGTGAGACAGCCGCCTTAGGACCCGACATTATACTCTAGACTACTGAGAAGATTAAGTTGATAAGACAGAGGTTACTTACAGCTCAGAGCCGACAGAAGAGCTATGCGGATAAGCGGAGACGACCGTTATCCTTTAAGGTGGGAGACCACGTTTTTCTACGGGTTTCTCCACGGAAGGGATTGATGAGATTTGGAAAAAGTGGCAAGTTGTCGCCACGATTTATTGGACCGTTTGAGATTTTGGACTGAGTAGGAGAGGTTGCCTACAGGCTTGCTTTGCCACCACAGTTGGATAGGGTCCACAATATTTTCCATGTATCGATGTTACGGAAGTACGAACCGGATCTATCTCACATTTTGAGTTGGGTAGATGTGGATATTGATGAGGATGTTTCCTACGAGGAAGGACCAGTTCAGATCCTTGACACTCAGCAGATGGTGTTGAGGAACAAGACGATACCAATGGTGAAAGTCCTTTGGAGACACCACGGAGTCGAGGAAGCTACTTGGGAGCTTGAACAGGAGGTTCGTTCCAAGTATCTATAGTTGTTTTCTTCCTCAGGTATGTCTTGATTTCGGGGACGAAATCTTTTAAAGTAGGGGAGAGTGTAATGTTTGTGCCTTTATATATATATGCCTGTGTGTGCAGTGTGTATTAAAAGAAAAAAAAAAAAAGAAAGAGAAAAAGAAATTAAAAAAAGAGAGGTGGGGCCCACGTCCCTTTTAAATGAATTAAGAGACCAAGTTAGTCTCTATTCTTTTTCTCTCTCTTTCTCCCGACTGCTGCTCTCGGCTCCTTCTCTTTTCCTTTTTTCTTTTTTTTTCACTTCAAGCTTTAACCCTTGATTACTCTCTCAATCCTTGCCGGATTTAGGTGCCGTTTGAGGCAAAACGACGAGTGTGACGAGCTCTACGTTCTAGTACCAGCAATTCCAGTTTTGCTACCTTCCTTGGAGCTCGAATTTGAGGACCCATTTTCTAGGGTTTTGGTGCAATCTTGAGGTAGGGGCATCTTAATCCACTCTCTTCTTGTTCCATTGTGAGTTATGCTCTTTTGTTGTGCTAGACATGCTAAATTTGAGAATTAATTGCTTCAATGAGGTGTAAGTGATGTTTAGAAAAAATTCATGTCTTAGGGTTATGACTTATCTATGTGAAAAGTATGTATAGATGATGGCTTTGTGGTGTTTTTTGTGAATTACACCTCTTTTATGTGCTAACATGCTTTACTTGGGGATTAATTGTGTTAATGATTATTTTAATGTTGTTTAGAGAAATGTATGTTTATGCACATGTGATGTATTATGTGAAAAGCTTGCCTATGTGTTGAGTTTATGTCCACCATGTGTAAACTTGCTGAAAGTGATGTATGAGACCATGCTTAATTGTATTGTGCCAAAATTTCACATTGTCATGATATTGAGATTATATGTACATTCTTGGACATGTCATTGGGATGCATGAAATGGGAGAATTTGTCTTGAAATGAAAATGAGGAATTTTTGGGAGATGATAGTTTTTGTGAAATGGTTTTGATAAACCCGATTGCTGCGGGGCTACCAACGGGCTGGAGGTTAATATAGCCTAGAGGGGACTAGTGTAATACCCCGATAATTTTAAAAGATTTATTAATTAGGATTAATTATTTTATTTTATTTTTCAATGATTTATTTTATTTTATTGAGTGCTAGATTAATTATCTTATTTTAATTAAGTTATATTTCGTGATTATGTATGATGATTGATTGTTTGTGTGGTTGATTATTGATTGAATTATTGGTGTGTTGATTTTATTGGTATTATATGACTTAGTTGTAAATTCTTGTTTGTTTATGTGCTTCATGTAATTAGTTATTTTAATTTCTGTATTTAATTAATTATCTTATTTATTTAAATTAATTGGATTGGGCTTAAGGAAAGTTGGACCAAAAGATGTGGTCTTGGGCTTGTATGAAACCTTATTGGGTTAATTAATGAAGGTCCGTGGTTATTTAATTATTTAAATGATCACTTTTGTATCAATTATATATATATATATATATATATATATAATTATATATAAATATAATTAATTAATAATTGTTATGGAAAGATATATATATAGATATATATTTATTGATATTTATAAGTATATATGATTTAATTAACTAATGAGTTAATTATGGAAGGAATATATATTTATATATATATATGTTTATAGATATAAATTATTTAAAGATTATTATTTTAATTCATAATACTAGTTGGAATAGGATTTGGAATTTAAGGTGTATAAAAATACACATAAGGCTTTAGGGTTAAAGGTTTTACACGTTAGAAAAATAAAACAGACAGAGAGAGAGGAAGAAGAAGGGCTGACAAGGAGGAGGTCGGATCTGAAAAGGAGGACGTCGGAATTGGAAGAGATAATTAAAGCTTAAAGCGTCGGTTTCGTTTCGAAACCTTCAGGCGAGTTTTCTCTAACTTTCCTCTTAGAACTCATAAGGATTTCACCTTGAGTATCAAGGCTTTAATTAAATTTATTTGTTTAAAAATTATGGTTAGATCGGAATAATTAAAAAGTATAAACTATTATATTTGATTTTTAGATTATTGGATTTTAATTGATATATATAGGTGTTATGTATATTTTAAAATCAATCTATAGGTGGATTTGTGACCCAAGAGAGTTAATTATGGTTTCTTTATTTTCTAGAATTGTTCTGTAATTTTCTGGAATTTTTCTGATATTTTTAGGAATTTATTAGGATTTATTTTCCTATTATTTGTTAGGATATATATATATATATATATATATATATATATATATATATATATACTAGGTAACTGGCGCATGTGGAGCGGCGGCACAATAAAGAATTGATCCAGTGCGGCGCGGTGTAAGATAATAGGGTGTATACGCCAATTAGGGCCATTTGATTAATTAAACTATGTGAATTGATATGGTGCATCGCGGCGCATAAAACTTTGGTGCGCATGTGTATCTGGACCATAGAAGTGGTCTGAGCAACTATGGGATTATTTGGTGTATTGCAGACCATGAGAAGATGGTGCACTCGCTGATCTGGACCTTAGATCTATTATAGTTAATAGAAAATAATCTAGTGTGAGCGTGTTCATTTGCGCACTCATTTATGACCATTGGATGCGGCATAAAGGAAGTGATGGATTCAGTGTGGTGAGCTCACGGTAGCTGAAAGAGCTTAGCCAATACCAGCACACAAGGAGGCTTGAATCCAGCGCGTGCAAGTGCATAGTAAGCACGTGGGCGCGCGTGGGAAACTATGTTGGCCTAATTCGACACTAGAAATTAAAACGGTCATAACTTAGTCATTTTAAATCGAAATTGGGTCATTCTTGAGCTCAAATTCAAGGATTTTTCGTCTTCTTTCCAATGGTACCAATTTCATTATCAGATTCCCATCCTACTAGGAGATATTTATGTTTTAGTGAGAAAGTGTCGGAAAACTATTTAAACCAATATGGAGTATTTAAAGGAAACTATTTCTGACATATTTAGTTGCACTAATTTGTGTAAAAATAATAAATTAATAATTTGTTATGGAAGGAAGTGTGTATATATATATATATATATATATATATATATAATTATTTATATATGTGTATATATAGTTTAATTTGTCTGTGTATATATAGTTTAATTTGTCTATGAATTGTATGGAAGGATGAATATATATATATATATATATATATATATATATATATATATATATATATATATGTATGTATGTATATTGATTTTAAATAATCAAGGATTATTAAAGAAGGTGTTAAACACATATATACATTAAATAACATATGTGTAGGTATATATATATATAAATCATTTAAGATGATTAATATTATCATTCTTATTTGGCATATCTTAATAGGCTGGTTGTTAAATTAATGATATGCGTATAATATGCATGTGATGGCTATGTATGATTTAGCGTATTGTTAATTTTAAAGTTAATTCATGGTTAAAGTATGGGCATGGATGAATTGTCAAATGATTAAATATATTACCTAAATATTTGTATGAATAGAATACATATATGGAAAGTATGAATGAATTGCTAATTAAATGTATGAATAAATATACCTGTGGAGGCATGGTTGAATTGCCAATGTATAAATATACATACACGGAGGCATGGTTGAATTGCCAATGTATAAATAAATATACTTATGGAGGCATGGTTGAATTGCCAATATATAAATAAAAATATTTACAATGGCATGGTTGATTTGCCAAAGCATAATTACGTTGTTATGTGTTAGATGATTAAAATATCATCTATGGTTGTCGTATGTATGGATTGGATTAAGGTTAGATATTCTTAAATGAGAATAGTTTATTACTTACTGGTTAGTGTATTATTTTATATTAATAAAATAATATTGAGGAAGACGTGGATGATTTGTCAAAACTTGGATTTTGGATATGTGATTTAAACAATTAAAATCATTATCGGGTTGGGATTAAATAGAGTATTTCCTTTATTATAATTTGTTGTTTAAATGATTAAACAACTGACTAGGATGGGATTAAGGTCAAAGGAGTTTTTATAAAATGAAATGGTAGATTGGTCTAGGTATGAATATTATTTTAATAATTATTTAATAGGTATGGAAATTTAATAAACCTATTAATGGATGTGATTAGTATAGTATATATAATTATATATAGACATGTATATCTTGCTTTATTAAAGTTAAAACTTTATTAGGTTTGGTTTTGATCAGAGATGATCTGCTTATTGGTTTTCAGAGGCCTGGTAGAGTGAACTTGCTCATAGGGTTTAACCCACGATTTATTTTTCAGGTTATTAGAGGTTCCAGTCTCGAGGTTGAGGATCCGCAGCTGGGAGACTGTCATTCGTCTATTCATCTTGTGTACTTTTAAATAGTATTGGATTATTGGATAATGTTTAAGGGGTCCTTGAGTTATGGGATTTCCGAATTGTAATTGTTGGAGAATCATTAAGTAATATTTATTTATTATTTTTCTTCAGCGGTTTATTTATTCTTTATTATTCATCTTTGTATTCTGTGCTTGTTAAATAGTTAAATTGTTTTGATATCCCTTGATTTTGTGCGCGGACTTGATCAATCCGTGTTCCAAAATTAGGGGTTATCACAACTAGGTAGTCGCTCTAGTGTGGTTGAGCTAGCTGGGCCCCATAATGACGCCGCGGGGTTACCAAGGGTCAAGGACACTGATAAGCGCCGAATATTGCATATTCAAGCGCCCTTAATTGCATTATTTAAGTCCATTGTTTGTTTAATTATGTAGATTACCTTCATATGCACGTTTTTGCATATTTTCAGGTTCATTGGCCAAAAAGAAGCAAGAAGGATGCTTTGTGGAGTTTTGAACATCAAAGGTCACAATGCTGAATTTCTGGCAGCAGTGGAACCTGAACTTTGCTCGCCATTTTGACCTTGAAAACTTGAGAACTGGACTTCCCTCATAAGATGACACATTTAGAGCTCTGAATCAGCTTTCCAAATCTTCAAGCAGTTTGTCATTTGGAGTTTGGAGCAGAGAGTTATGATCTTCTTATCATAGGTGCTCAGAACTGCCCGGCAGCAATGAATTTCTGCCTTACTCTTCAATTTCGACCAACCATCCTTGAGAATTGGATCTCCACCAAAACATGAAGTTTTTAGAGCTCTGAATTAGCTTTCCAAATCTTCAAACGGTTCATCATTTGGAGTTCGGAGTGCAAAGTTATGGCCATTTTACCAAAGTAGGTCCGGGCGGAGCAAACCAAGCATAGGGCATTCTGGCCAATTTTCGAGTGCTCGAGGCCTTATTTCGAGTGCTCGAAATTAGGGCAGATTGCTTCACAAGATCAGCAGTGGAGTGAGGACTTTGCTCGCCATTTTGACCCAGAAAGCTCGAGAACTGGACTTCCATCATAACATGAAAGATTTAGAGCTCTGAATTAGCTTTCTAAATCTTCAAACGGTTTGTCATTCGGAGCTCGGAGCAGAAAGTTATGGCATTTTTACCAGAGGTGCGCAGAACTGCCTGGCAGCAATGAAATTCTGCCTTGATCTTTATTTTCGACCAACCATCCTTGAGATTTGGATCTCCACCAAAACATAAAGTTTTTAGAGCTCTGAATCAGCTTTCTAAATCTTCAAACGGTTCATCATTCAGAGTTCGGAGCGCAAAGTTATGGCCATTTTACCAAAGTAGGTCCGGGCGGAGCAAACCAAGCATAGGGCATTCTGCCTAATTTTCGAGTGCTCGAGGCCCTATTTCGAGCACTCGAAATTAGGGCAGAATTCTACACGACTCGGCCCACTTGTGCTCAGATTTTACCTACTTTGGAAGCTCTCCTTTATGAGTTGGTTGGGGATGTTTCTTGGAGGAGAGAGAGGGCTTTTTGGGTGGATTTCTTATCTAGATAAAGAGGGGAGAGCCACACATTGAGATTAAGCTTCATTTTTTTACAAGATAGAGGAGAGAGAAGAGAGCAAGAAGGAGGAGTTCTTGAAGCTTCAAGGAGGGTGCACGAAAATGGAGATGAGGATCAAGCTTCTTCTTCAATCTAGGGCCACCATGGGTAACTAAACCCTCTTCTAGGGAGGTGATGAAGCCCTCTCTAGTAAGCATGTTCTAGCCTTAGTTTATTTTGGGGAAAATGATGTATATATGTGATTATTTCACAATCTAGAGTTACACTTGATGTAATGAACCTAATTTCTTATAAATGATTATGATGAATGTATTATCTTATCTTAGATCATATTTTCTCATGATTGTATGCCTTGCATTTCTATAGTGACATTGGAAATGAGATTGTGAAATGGGTTTCTTGGCATGTTGTATGAGAATCTTGATATTCCATAACTTAGGACCCTCCTTTGATGGACTAGTCTTGACTCTTGACTTCATGTGCTCCTATCATGTGATTAAAGGCTTGATAATCTCTAACTTAGTAAGCATGTCCAAGGCTACACACTAGTTTAGGTAGTTCAAACATGTGCATCTTTGATAGGTTATACTTGCCATTGATTTCATGAATTTCTTGAAGGAATGTAGCAATTTTGGTTGTAGCATTCCATGGTCACATATTTATGTTGTTTCCCCAATTTAGCTCTAATCTAGCATGTGTTTAGGGATGGAGCGGATTCATTTCCTTAGGCTTCTCTACTTGTATTATATCTCTTTACTTCCTAGCACATTACTATTTTATGCATTCTAAGTTCTAAGTTTTAGTGATAAACAAAACAAACCCTCTATGAACACCCCTTATCACTCTAAAATGACTCTAGACACTTAGGTTGCCATAGATTAGCGCAGTCCCAGTGGTTCGACTTACCCGACTAATAGCCCTATTTTACAATGATTCGTGCTATTGCGAAGGTTGATGTTAGTTGATCAACCGATCAGACACTAGCCAATCCTCCTCTCGTGTCGCGGCGGGGTTACCAAAGGGTGGGCTGTATTAACGTTTGAAAGTGATGGTTTTGAGAATGAAAACGGGGAGTGTTATGGACATGCATTGCATTTCATTTCATTGCATTGCATTGATTATACTTGGAATTGACTTGTATGTTGTATTTGATCCCCTACGTTGTATGATCCCTATCTCCCATTGGCCTATGCTTTGCTTGAATTCACAAGAACACAAGATTTGTGTCTTAAGTGTCACCTACTGAGCATATAGCTCACCCTACTATTTATACATTTTTTTCAGGTCTTGGAAAAGAACCGGTGGACGACAACCCACCTCAAGCTTGAGCGATACTAGAAGCTCACTTTTGTGTCTTTTGTATATCTCCCATTATTTTTGCAAAGCACTAAAATTGTGAAGGTGTATATGTATATTTTGCAAAAACTTTGTCATGTAATGTAATTAAGGTATTTGATGATATTTTGGATGTGAATTTGATAACATGTAAACCTTATTGATGAATGGGGAGAGTAATACTAGTTTGAAGTATTATTGAAGTCATTTAATTGTGTATCAGCATCTACTATTGCCGTGAATTCGGAATTTGAGCCATGACAGGTTAAAAATGCAATTAAACAGGTTGTGATAGGCCTATTTTTAGGGGAGGTTATGCTGAATTTTTTGTAAAATTCTTGGCATCAGCTAGGGTCGTTACAAACACTTTCCCGAAATTTCCCCCTTTTGAAGTAAATCAATTCTTTCCCTTTTCCTGCCCAATGTTAATGCATGAATACCTCAATGACATACACAAGTTCATCATTCCATACTTTATCCAATTTAAGCAACTTGGCATAATTCGCAAGAATAATCAAGAAGGTCATAACATGCTTATACATAACAAGTTCTAGCACAATGAACATATATAATCAAGTCCTAAACATGCTTCACATAGAACCATCAACAAATATAGTCACACAACTGACATATATGCATACATATCAACAATTCTCTAGATTTTAAACAACTAATCAAATTAAACAACAATTAGAGGCAATTAACTCACTAAGGTACAAGATTTCATGAATTAAGGGCCCCTACCTCAAGATTGCACCAAAACCTTAGAAAATGGGTCCTCAAATTCGAGCTCCAAGGAAGACTCAAAACTGGAAATTGATGGTATGGATGTATAGAGCTTGACACGAGCTTCGTTTTGCCTCAAACGGAACCTAATTCCAACAAGAAATGAGTGAGAAATCTAACCTCAAAGTTGAAACCAAAAAATAAGAGAAAAATGAGCTTACGAGTTGAGAGAGAGATGCACGAAGAGAGAGAAAGGGAATCAGGAAAATGAGACCAACTTTATGGTCTTAACCCTTTTCTAAAGTGCCTTGTGGGCCCCACCATTAAATTATTTTTCTTTTACTTTTATATTACACTACACACACACAATAAATACAGAGGCATCACAAGAGAGAAAGAGAGATACTGAGAGATTGAGATAGAGAGATAGAGATGAAGAAGAAATAGTAAGGATGCTATTCTTAGAAATGTTTGAAGAAGCAAACAAATAATAATAAGGATTCTGAGGGTGCTGAACCTCTAATACAACATGCCTCTTTGTTTATTTATAGAAAATATTGTAAACAGATTCCTACCAATTAGCATTCTAATTACAATAAACTCTATCTCATCACTGAATTTAAAATCAAACTAAAGTTCCTAGATAATCATTAATTCTTAACTAACGTAGAGTTCAAAAAGTATTTCAAAAATAGTCTATCTGATCTGTAGCGCTTTTGCTTGTAGCTTTACTCTGTGTGAAACCTGCCACGTTACTGTTCCTTTACTTATAATCCTTGTTCATGTATAACACTAGTAAACTTTATTTCAGCTGAATTTCTAAATCAAACCAACTTTAGCCCAACCATAAACCATGACTCAAATATCCTTCACGACCCAATGTTTGTGCAGCCCAAGCCTTCATCATTTATCAGGCCATGAATTACTAAACCAAACCAACTTTTGCCCAACCATAAACCATGACTCAAATATCCTTCACGACCCAATGTTTGTGCAGCCCAAGCCTTCATCATTTATCAGGCCATATACTCTTGGCCCATACCATCATGTCACTGTTCATGGTACCTATTATGTCACTAGATCTTTTTAATGTATAAAGATTGAATCTTCGAAAGAAAATGAGAGTTTTGAGTTAAACTTATTCGAGTTCCCTTTGACGTCTCCAATTAGAATCCAAACCTAATTACCAAAATGGGTGTCAACAGATACCTTCATGCGCAGTCTCATTTTCAGTATCATGCAGGTGGGATCGAGTCAATTGACATCTTAACAACACATGTTATAAGCTTATATTACTCGGATTGCTTACTACTAGCGTGGACTAAATTGATCGTATCAAAGCCAGAATACAGGAGCAATTTTATTTGTGGCTATCATATGACAATTCTATATATGAAACCCGCACAACTAGCTGGGCGTACTAGTACTGGTACTCCATTGGAGGTCCATTTAATCTGGATCACTGAAATTTTACAATTCAAAATGGAGGCTAAATCCAAGCGCTACATGGAAACCTCTTTGGCCCAATTATTCATGATGAACAAAGTTTACTACGTTGTTGAAAAAATCAAAGAGGCCCTGGATTTGGGAATTGGGAGTGATGATTAGGGAGGATTATCTAAAGATGTTGATCGAAAATGTGCAGCTGCTAATGAATGCCCATATGGGATCAAGATGGGAGAGGGTTCTCTGTCGTCTGAGAAATGGAGGACCATATGTGACTTTTCAGGGTCTTTCTTTGACAGTCTCGAAGAGTGCATTAAGAGAGAGGTCCAAGACCTTCGATGCTACGTTAGAAGAGGTTCATCAGACTCAAGCCAAATGGGGGTACCAACCAAAAGATCCGAACCAAGCGCCATTCCATGGCAGAGAAGCTGATTCCAGCCTACAGCTTCAGCGCTTCAATCCCTATTTAGGGAACGAGAATCAACAAGAGAAATACATCAAGTAACGACTGGGGACCTTAAGATTGCAATCTCAATGGTAACACGCAATCATTCCTGCATGAGACCATGTCCGAACACCTGCAATGCTAATACAAACCCATAAGCTCTGCTTTAGGGCAAAAACGTACCCAATTTGCACCAAGCCTTCTCATAAGAAGGAAATGACCGATTTGTAATATTCACCTTTATATATAAGTATTTTATGAGGATGGAGTTTTATGTGCTACATTTGACATGAATGATGACAAATTGAACAAAGAAAGATTGAAATAAATAAATAAAATAGATATACCTAAAGATAAAGTTTCTCATGAATAATCTAAAATCCTAGTAGTTTTAGCAGTTTAACAGCTGAAAAACTCAAGAGAAGTTGGTTCCTAATATTCTTAAGTTGAGGATCAGATTTAAACCTCCACAATGCCCACAAAGAAATTAGACACCGAGGTCTTGAGGTCCTCAACTGAGTACCTAATGTATTTCTGTTGGTGATTTTCACTCCCAATATGGCTCTTGAACAGCTTGATGAAGGAGTTGTAGGGCGGAATGAGCTCGTCCAGTATTGAAAGGCGAAGCTTCTTACGAAGTTGCACGTTTGGTACCACCCATCTTGCTTGAGTCTGACGAACCTCTTCAAATGTAGCATTGAAGGTTTTCAACCTATCTTTCAACGCACTCTTTGACACCCCAGAAAAAAGACTCCGGCTTACATACAATCCCTCTTCCCTCAGACAAGAGGTGACACTAACCCATGTTGATTTGAGATAGCCAGCCATCAGTAGCCTGACATTTTCGGTCAACTTCTCCAAGTAATTGTTGCCAATCATGTCACCCAATTTTGAGTCCTCTTGGACCTTTTGAACAATGTACTGAACATTGTTCATCATGAATAATTGAGCTAACGAGGCATCCTTGTAGCACTTGGATTTACCGTCCAATTTGTACTGTAAAATTTCAATGATGTAAATCAAATGGACCACCAATGGAGTTCGCCCCTCAAGTTCATACAATTTCATATCCGGAATTGTCCGATCACTTGAATTCCTAATGTCTTCTTGCTTTGATGGCTTTGATATGATCAATTCAGTTAGTGTTTCCTTGTATGAAGAGATCCGAGTAACATAAGCCATGACATATGTTGTCAAGTTGCTAATTCTACCTCTTTGTTCCTGAAAGCTTGACTGCTCATGAAGTACACTATACTCAAGTTCTGGTAGAACCCCTCTTGCCACCTCAACAAGCAGAGGCACTATATATGCAGCCAGAGTTCGAATACATTCTAATGATTTCAATTGAAAAAGAACATCAAGATCAGGCAAAAATTTTAACAACGCTTTGTGGAGATCTAAAATTTTGAACAACTTCTCAGGGCGCCTTGATGGAGCACTAAGGCAGATGCTTATGGCTTCCCCAAATTTGAATAGTTGAATTGCATGGTCTTTAACCATTTCAACAAAACATTCTTCATCTGAATCGTTTCCGAGACCTCCAAAGATATGCTCACAGAGTCTCTTCTCACTCGTATAGAGAATGGTGACACAGATCTTTGCAGCTCGTATCCACTGTCTCACTTTCTCTTCCAATGCTTCCCAGTCCATCCTACGAAGCTCATCAATGCTCGATTTCTGGATTCCTAGTCTTTGCAAACACGTGTTGAGCAAAAACTTGCGTACATTCTGGTACACCTTAACACACTTGGCAATATGTCCAGCAGAGTTCATTCTCACTGCAATGCTCCGGAGATCATCTATGGATTGCTTGAACTTGGTACTGAACTCTACATAGTTGAAATCGTCGAAGCCAGTAGTACTGTCAGTTGTTGAACCCGAACAAGTTGAAGACCTGGGATCAGTATGTGAATTGGTACTGATTGGACTGGGGAGGCTGATCAAGATGATCTGGAACTCGTCCTCAAGCCGAGCCATGGCGATCTGGATCATAGTGTTGGCTTCGATCTGGTCGTCTAAGATGGTGGCCGACTCTGTCCATAGTTGAATCTCGTCCACGGCTTGCAAAAACTGATCAACTTTGGAGCGATCTCCGTTGAATATAATTCCTTCTTTCACCTCTGCAGCTACAATAGAACCGCAACTCAAGATCAACTCAAAGGAACAACATGGCTTGTTTCTGCCGAATTTTAAGAATTGGAAAACCATCTGATTAAAATTGTAGAATACAAAAATAGAATCGCAAGACAATGTAATATAATTCAATTCAAGTTTTAAGAACTTGAAAATCTTTGGCAAGTATTACCAAACTTGCAGTTGAATTCTGTTCTGCTGGTAATGCTTCTACGGATGATAAATACATGTAATATTTACACACAAACACATTAAGTTCTCAGCAGATAATAAATTAATTGAAGTTGCAAAGAAAACGACAGAAGAGAAACAGAGAAGACTACCTAGAAATTACACACCCTTTTCATAACAAGACTTTTTTTGGTAGAAACTTGAAGGAAAGTAGTCTGAAAAAAACTAAAGCAAACAAACTTGTTAGACTGTAGCAAGTCTCCGTGTAAAATTGTTTATTTTCCACCACTATTGAGATTAAAAAAAGAAGTCAACTTGAACTTTTCCCATCAGCCATCTCTGGTTAGTAATGGCAAGGGGTGCAAAAAACACGTACACCTTTTTTTTTTTTTTTTAATTCCAAGCTTGTCATGAAAGTACTTTTTTTGTCCGTTCTTTCAAGACAAATTACGGTAATGACCAAACCGGTGGAAAGGAGCTTGAGGTGTGATTTCTAGGAAGTTTCCTCCGTCTTCTCTCTCCCACCTCCCATTTCAGTCTTGGAACATTACCAAGTTCAATTTACCTGAAAAAAAACATTACCAAGATCTGCATTGGTCTAAATGGTTGACTTTTTTGGTTTGGTGTTTTCTTTTCCAAATGACAAGATATTGTTTTGACTTTTGCCTTCCTTTTTCGCCTACATTCACACTTATTACCAGGAAATTAAAGTTATGACAAAAAAAATATGTGGATGAAGGAATGCGGGGCGTGGTTACTGGGAAGTTTACTTGGTCTTATCTCCATCCTTACGTTCTCCATTTCACACACAACCACGCATGTATGTATGTTCAAGGACTTCCAAGTTTTTAAATTACAAAGAGTTCATTCCTAGCATCCGAATCATGATAATTAAAATGGTTTTCAAATTCTTAAAATTCTGTAGAAATAACCAGCCACAGGCGACGACACTGCCAGAAAATGTTGTCCCGGAATCATCCATGGAGGTGGTTCTTAATGGCCACGTCTCCAAAATTGATCATCATTTGCAAGCCGCGGATGAGACAGAGTCCACAACCATCTCTGCTGACGGTCAGAGCAAATCCAACAGCGCTATCCAGATCTCCAATATTGCTCAACTTGAAAACGAATTTCGAGTCATCTTGATAAGCCTCACCTGTCCAACCGGCACCAATCCAGGTAAGTCTTCAACAAGCTCATGTTCCATAACTGACAGTGCTCCTAGCTATGAGCACTGTAATTTTGTAAAGTTGAATAGGGAGAAAAAGGATGATCTTCGCAGCATAGCTGAGAGAATGAACTCGGCCGGAATTCTTGGGAAGGGCATCGAAGTGTACCAGAGTGTAAGGAAGACTTTCCTGGAAACAAGTCTCTGGAAACTCGGCATCCAGAAATTAACTATGAATGATATTCGTAGTTTGGAGTGGGAAGAACTGCAGGAGAAGATCAGACGGTGGATACAAGCTGCTAAGATTTGGGTTAGTGTTCTCTTTGCGAGTGAAAAGAGACTTTGTAAGCATGTGTTTGGAGGTCTTGGGAATGCCATTGTTGATGATAACTGTTTTGCAGAAACAGTTAAGGATCCTGCATTTCAATTATTTGAGACTGGGAAAGCATTAAGCATCTGCACAAGCAACAGATCACGACGCCCTGAGAAGCTATTCAGAATTTTAGACCTCCACCAAATGTTGCTGCAGCTTTCGAAAGATCTGGACATTATTTTTAGGTCCAAATCATTAGAAGCTGTTGCAATTGAGGCTGCTGAGATGCTGTTGCTGCTTGACAAAGCTGCAGGACAGATTCTTCCGGAATTTGAAAACTCCATGCTTCATGCACAGTTTCATTTTCAGGATCACGAAGGCGGGATTGACACCTTAACAACATATGTTATGAGCTATATTACTCAGATCGCTTACTACAAGCGCGGGCTAACTAAATTGGTCGTATCAAAGCCAGAATATGGGAGGAATATTTGTGGTCATATGACAATTTTAGATATGGAACTCTCAGAACTTGATGGGCGTACTAGTACTCCATTGATGGTCCATTTAATTTGGATCATTGAAATTTTGCAATTCAAGCTAGAGGCTATATCCAAGCGCTACAAGGAAGCCTCTTTGGCTCAATTATTCCTGATGAACAATGTTCACTACATTGTTGAAAAAATCAAAGAACACCACGATTTGGGAAAGATGGTTGGGGACGCTTACTTGAAGATGTTGATCGAAAAAGTCCAGCTACTAATGAATGCCTATATGGGATCAACATGGGACAGGGTCATCTATTGTCTGAGAGATGAAGGACTATATGCAAGTCGGGGTCGGTCTTCGAAGGTGTCAAAGAGGGTGTTGAAAGAAAGGTTCAAGACCTTCAATGCTACAGTAGAAGAGGTTCGTCAGAATCAAGCCAAATGGGTGGTACCAAACCAAAAGATCCGAATTAAACTTCGCCATTCCATATCAGAGAAGCTGATTCCGACCTACAGTTCCTTTTTCAAAAGGTTCACAAGCCATTTAGGGAACGAGAATCAACAAGAGAAATACATTAAGTATAAGGTTAAGGACCTTAAGATTGTGATCTCAAATTTCAAGAATGGGTAACAAGCTAGCATGTAAGCCCGCTTGAGACCTTGTCCAAACACTTACCATGTCAATCCAAACCCATAAGCTCTTCTTTAGAGAAAAAATGTACCCAATTTGCACCAAACATTCTCATAAGAACGATGTTAGCAGATATGATAGCCACGATTTATGGAATGACTTACCATATTAGCGAGATTTGATTATGCTATAGAATATACTTTAGAAATTTGATTTAATTTCATTTCTTATAATATGAGCATGTACTTTTTTATCTATAAATACTAGAGTTATGGATGAATGTTTTATATCATTCAAGCATTTGCATATCATAAATCTCATTCAAGCATTTACATAATTTTCTCATTTTCTTTCTATATTGTATTTCTACTGAAGAATTGCTTATTCTAGAGTCGCTTTTATCATATTCCTTTAATGACTAAGACTGAGGATGAAACTTCCTCGTGAATGATCTGAAATCCTAGCAATTTTAGCAGTAAACAGCTGAAAAACTCGAGATAAGTTGGTTCCTTGGGGATCAGATTTGAACCTCAACAATGCCCACAAAGAAATTAGACACTGCAGTGTTAAGGTCCTCAACTGAGTACCTAATGAATTTCTCTAGGTGATCTTCACTCCCTATATGGTTCTTGAACAACTTGACGCAGGAGATGTAGGCCGGAATGAGTTCCTCCAATATTGAAAGGCGAAGCTTCTTTCGAAGTTGGATGTTTGGTACCACCCATCTTGCTTGAGTTTGTTGAACCTCTTCAAATGTAGCATTGAAGGTTTTCAACCTCTCTTTCAACGGACTCTTTGACACCCCAGAAAAAAGACTCTGGGTTGCTTTGAGTCCCTCTTCTCTCAGACAATAGGTGACCCTCCCCCATGTTGATTTGAGATAGCCAGCCATAAGTAGCCTGACATTTTCAGTTAACTTCTCCAGGTAATCGTTGCCAATCATGTCACCCAATTTCGGGTGCTCTTGGACTTTTTGAGCGATGTACTGAACATTGTTCATTAGAAAAAATTGAGCCAATGAGGTATCCTTGTAGCACTTTGATTTATCCTCCAACTTGAACTGTAAAATTTCAATGATGCAAATCAGATGTACCACCAACGGAGTTCGCCCCTCAAGTTCATCCAATGTCATATCTGGAATTGTCAGATCACCTGAATTCCTCATATCTTCTTTCTTTGACTGCTTTGTTATGATCAATTCAGTTTGTGTTTCCTTGTATGAAGAGATCCGAGTAACATAAGCCATGACATATGTTGTCAAGGTGTTAATTCTACCTCTTTGATCCTGAGAGCTCGACTGCTCAAGAAGCACACTATTCTCAAAATTCCGGTAGAACACCTCTTTTAGCCTCAGCAAGCAGAGGGCCAGAGGCAGCATCCCATTCCCGGCAGCCCGAGTTCGAATACATTCTAATGATTTCAGTTGAAAAACAACGTCAAGATCAGGCAAAATTTTCGAAAACTGGTCGTGGAGGTCTAAAATTTTGAACTTCTGAGGGCGCCTTGATGGAGCACCAAGGCAGATGCTTATGGCTTCCCCTGATTTGAATAGCTGAATTGCATGGTCTTTAACGACCTCCACAAAACATTCATCATCTGAATGAGTTCCAAGACCTCCAAAGATTTGCTCAGAGAGTTTCTTCTCGCTTGCAAAGAGATTGGTGACACAAATCTTTGCAGCTCGTATCCACTGTCTCCCTTTCTCTTCCAATGCTTTCCAATCCATTTTACGAAGCTATCAATGTTCAATTTCTGGATTCCGAGTCTTTGAAAACTTGATTCGAACAAAACCTTGCGTGCATTCTGGTACACCTCAATGCACTTAGGAAGATGTCCTGCGAAGTTCATTCTCACTGCAATGCTCCGCAGATCATCTATGGATTGTTTGAACTTCGTACTGAACTCTACATAGTTATAATCTTCAAAGCCAGTAGTACTATCAGTTATTCTTGTTTTTTGGTAAAGATTAGTACTATAAGTTACTGAACTCGAAAATGTTGATGACCTCGGATCGGTAGTTCTTGAACTCGAATAAGTTGAAGACCTTGGATAAGCCTCTAAATTGGTTGTCATTGGCAGTGACAGAGTTGAAAAATAATTTGAGAGGGGGCGCCTAGAACAATAATGAGATAAATAAATAAATAAAATTCAAACTACGTAATAAACAAAATTAAATTAAACTCATGCATAAGAAGCTCCGCAAAACTCTAAACTTGATTACATGCTATAACAGATTGAGAGACAAGAGTTTGTAACCGTCACTTATCTCTTGATCGATTATCTGGGCAAGTGTAGCAGCATTCTTTATAAAAATTTAGCAGATTATAGGAACCATAAACAATGCTTTAGAGGAGAAGTAAACAATTAAGTTACAAGTCCAAACTCTTCTATGTACTATATATATATATAGAAACACACGTATATTTAGGACTGTAAAGTGCAACGCTACCATGTACATATATGTACTCTCTTTACAAATATAAGCCAACTTTGATTAGTGCAACCCTACTAATTCAAAAGAATATAAGATAATTAATCTTACCTTTTTAATAATAAGTTAGATTTAAACCCCACTTAACTGCAAAAATCTAATGGGAGCATTCTGACAGACTCTTAAGAATGTAACATAACAATTCATTCCGTGGGGTGAGCCTTACTTGGGTCCGTGCTTGCAAGTAGTGATTGGAGTGGTGAGGCTGATCAAGATGTTCTGAAACTCGCTCTCAAGCCGAGCCATGGCGATCTGAATAACGGTGTTGGCTTTGATCTGGTTGTCTAAGATGGTGGCCGACTCTGTCCATAGTTGAATCTCATCAACGGCGTGCAAATACTGATCAGATTTGGAGCGATCTCCTTTGAAGATACTTCCTTCTTTGGCCGCTCCAGTTATAGTAGAACCCCAACTCAATATTAATTCCAAGGCACAACATGTTTTACTTCTACGGAATTTTAAGAATTTGAAAACCATTTTATCAAAATCTTGAATATAAAAATTGAATGGTAAGACAATCCAATAGGATTCAATTCATTTCTATGTTTTTAACAACTTGAAAATCGTTGACCAAACTTGAACAGTTGAACAGTTTTGTTCTACTGTATTGCTTTCACACGGATAAAGAAAAAGACTCTTGTTCTGCCCATTTAATTCGCTTGCCTACCCACATAAGTCTTCACTGTCTACTTGTTCCACTCCTTATTCATTGCTGCCCACACGCATTTTCTTTGTAGACCCCACACGTCTCCCATCAATCACTACAAAGTACAAATCATATATCACATAAATTCACGTTGTACATCAACTACCTTGAATATGATATTAGATACATTTTTACTCGAAAGCAGAGCTTATGGGTTACATAGTAGGTGTTCGGACAAGGTGCTATCTAGGCGGACATAGCTTGCTTGTTACCCACTCTTGAAAGCTGTGATCACCATCTTAAGGTCCTCAACTGTATACTTAAATGTATTTCTCTTGCTGATTCTGGTTCCCTAAATGGCTCTTGAACCGCTTGAAAAAGGAGCTGTAAGCCCCAATCAGCTTCTCGGATATGGAATGGCAAAGCTTACTTCGGATGTGTCCATTTGGTACCACCCATTTGGCTTGATTCTGATGAACCTCTTCTAACGTAGCATTGAAGGTCTTGAATCTCTCTTTCAATGTAGTTTTGGATACCTTCAAAGAAGCACCCGGACTCGCATATAATCCTTCATCTCTCAGACAATAGAGGACCCTCTCCCATGTCAATCCCATATAGGCATTCATTCGTAGCTGCACATTTTCGATCAACGTCTTCAAATAATCCTCCCCAATCATCTCTCCCAAATCCTGGTCCTCTTTGATTTTTTCAACAATGTAGTGAACATTGTTCATCATGAATAATTGAGTCAAAGAGGCGTCCGCGTAGCACTTGGATTTAGCCTCCAATTTGAATTGTAAAATTTCAATGATCCAAATTAAATGGACCACCAATGGAGTACTACTAGTACACGCATCAAGTTGAGCAAGTTTCACTTCTGGAATTGTCATATGATCACCACAAATATTACTCCTATAATCTGGCTTTGACACGATCAGTTTAGTTAGACCTTCATTGTAGTAAGCGATCTGAGAAATGTATTTCGTAACAAATGTCGTCACTCTGTCAATCCCACCTCTCTGATCCTGAAAATGAGACTGCTCATGAAGCATGTCATTTTCAAATTGCAGTAGAGTCTCTCTTGCAGCTTTGGCAAGCTGTGACTGCATCTCAGCAGCCGCAATTCCAACAGATTCTAATGATTTGGACTTAAAGATAATGTCGAGATCATCCAAAAGCTGCACCAACATTTGGTGGAGGTCTAAAATTCTGAACAGCTTCTCCGGGTGTCGTGATCTATCGCCTGCACAGATGCTTAATGCTTTCCCAGTCTCAAATAATTGAAATGCAGGATCTTTAACAGTTCCCGCGAAACAGTTATCGTCAATGCCATTTCCAAGACCTCCAAACACATGCTTACAAAGTCTCTTTTCGCTCACAAACAGAACACTAACCCAAATCTTAGCACCTTGTATCCACTGTCTGATTGTCCCCTCAAACGCTCCCCACTCCAAACTACGAATGTCACTCATACTTAATTTCTTGATACCGAGTTTTCGGAGACTTGTGTCCAGGAAAGTCTTCCTTACACTCTGGTACACCTCAACCCCCTTCTCAAGATTTCTGGCAGATTTCATTCTCTGGGCGATGCTGCAAAGATCATCTTTTTTCACCGTATTCAACCGTACAAAATGATAGTCCTCATAGCTAGGACCACTATCGGTTATGGAATATGAGCTTGTGGAAGACTTACTTGGATTGTTGCCGGTTGGGTTGGTGAGGCTGATTAAGGTGACTCGAAATTCGTTTTCAAGTTGAGCAATATTAGTGGCAATGTTGATGGTGCTGTTGAATTTGCTCTGATCGTCTGTGATCGTTGCGGACTCCGTCTGTGGTTGAATGTCGTCCATGACTGATTCGGAGGCCGGGACAACATTTTCTGGCGCCTCTGTTGCCTGTGGCTTGTTATATTTATGGAATTTGAAGAATTTGAAGAAATCCATCTTAATATATATCAAGGATAAAATCTAATGTAGGAAGGAATTGTAACTATTTTAAAAACTTGGAAGTCTTTGGTGAAGATATATTAGAGCATTGAACGTGGTAATGTTCCAGGAATGCAAAACTAAAGATATACACGTGTGCAATGGAAGATGCAAGGATATCATAGAGCAGACTCGAGAGAAGACTTGAGTATACTTCCCAGAAATCACACCACATATTCTTTCATCCACATGCTTTTGTCGTAATTTCCGGTAACAAGTGGTGTGACGAAAGTAGGGGGAAAAAAGGCCAAAAAAATTAAGTATCCATGCATTACTTGTATTAAATCATCTTTAAAAATTTAACAAAAAATAGTAAAATTCATTAGAAACCAACATTTATTGTTATTGTTGTAAAATTTATGTATCAAAGAATTTTTAGATCATTATGCGAAGTTAAAAAAATTTCTTGATTATGATACTTAGATATGATATATACAATACATTTTTAAGTCATTAACTAGATACGCGGTCATATCAACACCACATTTTACTTTTACTATTTTAACATATTTCTTTCAAATTTCACCATTTTTACTTTTAATTTGGACCATATTTACTTTGAGTGAGTTTGCAACACCTTTATTTTTCACCATTTTAGTTCGAGATTACGGCACTGCCTATTTTGAGTCTTCACCGTTTTTGCCAAAATTTTATTTCAGCCATTAAACTTAAACATTAAAGAAGCAACTGATTTGCATAAAAAATTCTAAAATGATGTCCCTTGTGGGGTATTGCAAATATCTTGTGTCGGAGGAAATTTTGATCCGTTTTAGTTTGTGTCTCTATGGACAATATGTGAGGTGGTGTGCGAATGTGTATTTATGTAGTGTAAAATTAATGATGAAAAAATTGACTAGCAAAATATAGTGTTTGACAGCTTTAGGACGGCCTCTCTACAGAGGGTTTGGAGTCGAGCACGCGTTTGTGCTTCCAGTGTGTGAATACTCGCATTAAAGTCTCAAGTTCTTAACTATGTCATTCAATTGAGTCACATATATATATATATATATATATATATATATATATACTCGCATTAAAGTCTCAAGTTCTTAACTATGTCATTCAATTGAGTCACATATATATATATATATATATATATATGTGTGACTCAATTGAATGACATAGTTAAGAACTTGAGACTTGACTCAATTGAATGACAGAGGGTTTGGAGTCGAGCACGCGTTTGTGCTTCCAGTGTGTGAATACTCGCATCACAGAGGGTTTGGAGTCGAGCACGCGTTTGTGCTTCTAGTGTGTGAATACTCGCATTAAAGTCTCAAATTCTTAACTATGTCATTCAATTGAGTCATATATATATATATATATATATATATATGTGAATATGGGTTTGTAAATTTATTTATACATAAAAATTCCTATCACAAATATGAATTATTTTACATTAATAAGAAATGACAAGAATTATGACGTTATTATATATATATATATATGACTCAATTGAATGACATAGTTAAGAACTTGAGACTTTAATGCGAGTATTCACACACTGGAAGCACAAACGCGTGCTCGACTCCAAACCCTCTGTAAAGTCTCAAGTTCTTAACTATGTCATTCAATTGAGTCATATATATATATATATATAATAACGTCATAATTCTTGTCATTTCTTATTAATGTAAAATAATTCATATTTGTGATAGGAATTTTTATGTATAAATAAATTTACAAACCCATATTCACATAACTGGCCGCCTCCGCAGAGCATCCAGACGGTGTTCTTATTTGAATGTCAGCCACGGTTCTTCAAATAGGACATTTAATTTGGACCGGAGATAGTATTTTTTTACTCATTCCATCCCCACTGTGACCTTTTCTCTCCGTCTCCACATCACCTGTTTCTCTCCACCATCCACCGACGCACCACCATCGCGAACCACCTTCTCTCTCCATGAACCACCTTTAAAGCAAAATTCATATCATTTTGAAACTAATTTCAATTGGAAAATTGTAAAGAACAAAAACCCATTTCTAAAATCACAAGTCAAAACCCCAAAATTAGAAAATCAATCCACGCACAAAAGAAAAATTTATAAAGCAAAACCAACTTGACTTTTTGTTAAAGGAGACTTGTATGGTGAAGATTTCCTTGTACACCAGCAATTCCCCATTATACAAAAACCAAAAGCAACCAAACAAATTTAACTTAATCAACATAAACAACAACAACCCATTATCAAGATTAGACTTCTACTTTCACTCGTCTACTAATCCCAAACTCATAGAATAAGAAATTTAACTAAAATGATGCTCACCGGATCGTAATACAATTTTCTGAAATGATGTTAGCCGGTGCAAGCTTAGTGCCGAAGCTCACAGAAATGGGTCTCTTATGCTTTCCTCGGTGCCGTTGGATTAATGGAAGCTACGTACAATTTGAAGCTCGTCGTTGCCGAAGAGAAGCTCGCGGTTGTGAGGGTGTCGTGTGAGCTCGCATTCGCCGAAGTTCAATGGAGCCGCAAGCACCATCGTTCAGTCAGATTCTTGCCAGTCGCTGTTCTTTGCTCGCCGCTGCTCTTTGTGGGTGTCATTTATTAAAAGCTGATTTGGCATGTTGACAAGTCAATACAACCCCAGCCAAATCCTCCGTGGCAATTTGAAAAGTCAAAAACCTCGAAAGGTTAAATTTCGAGCACTCTAAGTCCTGGCATCGCTCTAGGCCCATCAAGTCTCGAAATATCGAATCTCGAGCACTCTAAGCCCTGGCATCACTCCAGGCCCTCAAGCCTCGAAAGATCAAATCTCGAGCACTCTAAGCCCTAGCATTGCTCCAGGCTGACAAGTCTCGAAAGATCAAATCTCGAGCACTCTAAGCCCTGGCATCGCTACAGGCCCTCAAGCCTCGAAAGACCAAATCTCGAGCACCCTATGCCCTGGCATCGCTCCAGGTCCATTAAGCCTCGAAAAATCAAATCTCGAGCACTCTAAGCCCTAGTATCGCTCCAAGCTCTCAAGCCTCGAAACATCAAATTTCGAGCACTCTAAAGCCCTGGCATCGCTCCAGGCCTACCAAGCCTCGAAAGATCAAACTTCGAGCATACAAAGCCCTGGGATCGCTTTAGGCTCAATAAGCCTCGAGACGCTGATCCTCGAGCATCCCAAGCCCTGGCACCACACCAGGCCCATCAAGCCTCGAGAGACCAACTCTAGAATACCTCGAACCCTGGTGTTATGCCAGACAATACTGCTTTAAAAGGCTGGAGCTCCTTAGCACGAGATGAAGGTAGGATATTCGTGTTATAGGAATCCATGTTTGGGAAACATAGGAGGATCTTGGATTGGTGGATGAGAAGTCAAGAGGTGCCTTCGCTCTCGGCAAAGCCCAATTAATAAGATGATGGGATTATACATGTCGTGACAACAAACCTTAAAATCACAATTAATGCTATGTCAGGCTTGACCAACCGATGGCCAAGCAACATTTAATGCCCCTGATTAAGGGAGAAGTGACATGGCAACATGGGATAAGGCTCGAGGAAAGGATTAGACCCTTTAGACTCCTAAATCTCCAGGATTACTCACGTAATCCAGATTGGGGGTAATGCATGCAAGGGACCATGTATGGAAAGAACCATTGAATAATAACCAATGGAATCTAGATCTATAAATGGCACTGTCCTATGAAAAAAGAACCAACCCTAGAGGAGGAAAGCTGTCATAAGATATTATATACTCGCCCTACCACCATCTTTATCTTGATAGTTGGTCTTCTTCACCTCCTCCTACACTGAGCATCCCTTCTGTTTTCTTTCGTATTTGTATTCTTGATATCTCTATTATATTGCTGCTTTATTATCTAGTAGAAAAGAACCCCTACACTCTTCCCCATCATCGTCGTCTCTTGTCGGTATGTCCATTCTTGCAACAGAGAGGGAGAGCCGAAGAGGGAGCGTATGTTTGGGGTGAAAAGGTTAGGGGTTAGTAAGGTAATTTGGTTCAAAAGTAAATAGGTATTTTAGGTAAAAAGTTATAGTAAATAGTAAAAGTTTATGTCCACATCTGAAATTAGGTCAACTATCTCAAAGGAGTGTTTAAAATGAGTCTCTAAATTTGTCACCTCTGCATTTTTTAGAGATCTTCCCCGTTTCTCTTAGCCTCCAGCTTTTCTTCCGCGATTTGTCTTCTGTGGGCAGCTCTATGGTGTGGGTCGTTCCACCTTTCTGTCCGTTTTCTTTTCCGGCCTACTCTTTCTAATTCTAAGGCACGGTTTCCTGCTTTTCTCCTGATATCAACAAACCTTTTATTCGTACCGCGATGTACGGACCTAAGTAAGGACACCTAACGTTGTACTAGGACACATTAGTATTTCTAAGAGCCACATCAGCGTTTTGTACTGTTGAAATTTTAACTATCCCAAATGTTCCAATAGTGCATTTTTGTTTTCCAAAAAAAATAGCATTTTAATATTTTTAAAATTTTTAATATATATATGTATATATATATATTTTCAAACAGCTATATCCATTATCATTTGATGTTAAGAATCATTTATTTATAAAGATGAAAACAAAGGCAAATATTTTTTTTAAAAAAAAAAAATATATCATTGTTTAAAATTAATTATATTTTATTAGGGAAAATTAAATTTTTGGACTAATATAGACGTTAAGGCATTGTTTGGGTTAGCCAAACAATGCCTAAAATGACTATAATGTCGCTAGGAATCTTGATTTTTTTATTTTTTTTAAAAAATAATTTTCTAATTTTTTTTTTTTAACTTTTGTTACCCCAAAAAAACTTTAAGACACCGTTTATGTTAAAGGCTATTTGGTCCATTTGTGTTGAGGAAAAAAAAAAAAACTTCCAAAACTTCTTTCTAAAATTTTTTTCCAGCCAAACACGCCCTTAAACCAATTCTAGGCTAAGAGCTACAGTAATTTAGGCTTTAAAAAATAAAGAAAAAGCAAGTGGGCCTGCGCAAGGCAGGCCTGCGATCACTAAGAAGGTTGCCTTGGCGACCCAAAAGTTTGAGCCCACATTGGAGATTCCATTGGACTGTCCAATAGTCAAAAGGGGCCGAAATAGTTTAAAAATAAATAAATAAAATAAAATAAAATAAAAATAAAATAAAAAACAGGGCCCCTGGAGCTGCTCTAAGCCTTCTTATATATAAAAAAAATCATTTGAACTATGTGCCATTTTCCTAAAACACAAATACACAGCATTGCTGCCATAACTCTTTCACTCACCAAGAGACTAATTGGTTTTGACCATTAATTGACACAGCATAGTAGTAAACTTTCTTCTGATTATCGATAGATATTTTTAATTGTAATTAGCTGTCATTTTTGGGCACAACTATACAACTGATATAAGTGATGATGCCCACAATAATCATAGGAAAGCATGTAGAAGTTTAGCAGCAAAAACTTTAACCACCACCTTACCATTCTCACCAAAGAGGGCGTTAAAAAAACAATACTAAAAAGTAAGAACTTAAGCACAATGAAAATGAAAACTAAAAACATAAAGACGTAGTATTTCAATTAACATCAGACAAGGGATGAAATGAATGGCATAAGATAGATTAATCATGTAAGTTCTCTGTTTTGAAAATAAAATTGGAAGTTTTTGGACTTCTCTCGTTTCCTTCGGAAATCCATTCTTTATTTCAAAATTAGACTCGAATCAAAAGCATTTAGACAACATATATATCTAACTCTTTCTATTATTATAATAATTTACTTAGCGTTATTAAAGTGATTCATTATATAATTTATTTATTTTAAAACACATTACATTAATAATAATTTATTTGCTATAACAATATAAATTTATAATATGACGAAATTTATAACTTGCAAAGGAACAAAATTTAAGATTATATTTTAGAAACAACGGCCACAACAAGAAGAAGATTATGAATACTGACAACAAAAAAAAAAAAATCAAGACAAGAAGTAAAAATAAGTGAGCAGGACAAAGAGACAACATAATCCTAAGATCACATTAGACAATTTAGGTGTAAACTCTTGTCTGAGTTTGAGCTCCAACTATAATAAATAAATAAATAAATAAAAACAGTAGGCAAGATTCAGAAATTAATAAGCCAAAAAAAAAATGAAATCAACAAAAAAAAAAAAAAAAAATGTTTTCACAACAAGACGAAGACTACGGAAATCTTTTGCAAAAAGTTGAAAAAGTTGCATATAAGACTTTGAAAAATTCTATTCTTAAATCCAATCAAAAGGAATCTCACTTGACCAGCAAAGGAACAAAATAACATTAATATAAATTAAAGTAAAAGGAATACAAGATTTTTATACAATATATACTTACAGATTTAGAGTAAAGGTTTTCAATGCACTTGAACTGAACCCACAATCGTGATTCAAGATAAGACCTTAAAATATGAATATGAAACACCCGTAATCGAATAGAGACTCACAATAGAAGAGATCAAAGATGATGCGCACAATCAAAGTGAAACGAAACCCTCCTCTCTTTTTCTCTCTCTCTAAACCAACGGCCGTAAATCTCAAAAACTGGTTTGAGTAAAATTGATAACTTAATTCATGGAGGGTATTATAGATATTTTACACATCTAATATTTATTTATTTTAATAATAAATCAAAATGTGAGATTGTTTAGTGATTGTGTCCTTCATATTGTCGAAAAATATGTTCTGGTGAGTTATAAGAGGAGAATATATAATATTTGAGGGACTGAGTTGTTCCCAAAAAATAGTACAGGGACATTTTGCAACAACCGTAGAGGGTGGGGATTTTTTTATTTTATATTTTTTTTGTTTTGCTCTTTTCCTTAATTTGTATGAGACTGATTGCAATGATTTTTATCATCTTTCGACTTAGTGGGCAAGAGGGGCCTATGTCATGTGAATACCATAAAAGCATGCAAAGTAACATTCCACCAATAACATGCAAAGTAAAACAGCAATAATTGCCACTTTTCTTTGGTTTGAAGGAATTATTAAATAATCTGCGCACTGAACATACAATATTTATGATGTTTTCCCTTTCTTTTCTTTTCTGTTTTTTTTTTTTTTTTCGTGTGTTTCTTAGCTTTTGCATAATTTGTATGAGACTGATTGGTAATGTTTTTGACTTTATAAATATAAATTATGCAAGAGCTAAGAAACACACGAAAAAAAAAAAACAGAAAAGAAAAGAAAGGGAAAACATCATAAATATTGTATGTTCAGTGCGCAGATTATTTAATAATTCCTTCAAACCAAAGAAAAGTGGCAATTATTGCTGTTTTACTTTGCATGTTATTGGTTGAATGTTACTTTGCATGCTTTTATGGTATTCACATGACATAGGCCCCTCTCCCTCTCCCTCTCCCTCTCTCTCTCTCTCTCTCTATATATATATATATATATATTAAAGTTAAATAAAATTTTATTCACTTGTAGAGCCCACATGAATTATAAGTCAATATAATGACTTATCTCTTCCTCTCTACGTATCACACTCTCTCTCGTCCAGTAGTTCTCTTTTATTTTCTTTTTTTTTTGTTCTTCAAAGCTTCAAGGCTTAATTTCTCTCTCATTTCTTATCGGATTAAGGTGCCGTTTGAGACAAAACGAAGCCCACGACGAGCTGTACGCATCCATACGAACAATTCCAGATTTGGTGCCCTTCTTGGAGTTCGAAATTCAAGACTCATTTTAAGAGTTTTGTGCAAATTTGAGGTAAGGACTCTTAATCCACAAGTTTCTTGCTCCTATGTAAATTACATCTTCTAATTTGATGCTAGATATGTTTACTTATGGTAGTTGTAGTTTAAAGAAATTATAGCATGTGTATGTGGTTATGTGAGAACTTGTTTTAAATGTTTTATGTGAAAATTCTTGCTTATGTGATGATTTATATATGTTCGTTGTGCTAAATGCATTGTTGTACAAGAGCATGTTATAATCCCTTGAGAAATTCTTACGAAATTATGTCTTACTTACTTAAATAGAGTTGAATGTGAAATGATGATTAAATTCATGATATTGATGCACTCATGCACTTACATTGGCCATGAAACGGGAAGAATGAGTTTGAAATGAAAAATGAGAATTTGGGAAAAATGATTTGATGAAACGGTTTTGAAAAAAAACCCGGTCGCCGCGGGAGTACCAAAGGGCCGGAGTGTTACTATAGCCTAGAGGGGACTAGGGAGTCGCCCTGGCGTAGTTGAGCTAGCTGGGCCCCATAATGACGCCGCGGGGGTACCAAGGGTCAGGGACACTAGCCAATCCTCCTCTCGTGTCGCTGCGGGGTCACCAAAGGGCGAATTATATTAACAGTTTGAAAGTGATGTTTGAGAACAGAAAATGGGGAGTGACATTAGCATGCATTTGCATTTCATGGTATCGTGTGGGTTGTACTTGAGTTTAGTTGGAATGTTGTATTATTTCCCGACATTGTATTATCCTCATTTCCTATTGGCCTATTCTTTGTATGGATTCACAGGTACACAAGAAAAGTGTCTTAAGCGTCACCTACTGAGCATATTTGCTCACCCTACTATTTATATTATTTTTTTCAAGTCTTGGAAATGAACCGGTGGATGACAATCCACCTCAAGCTTGAAAGTTGTTAGAAGGTTGTTTGCTATTTTGTATTTTCACCGTTTTATGTATATTCATAGTTGTGGGGATGTAACTAAGTTAGTATTCATGGCCTTGTAACTTAAGAACGAACTTATCTTTTGTTTGATGTAAATGAAACTAATGAAATTATGGTATATGTTTCTATGCAATTGTATCATGTAACGTTGTAAGACAGGGACTTTAAATATTAATCTCGTATTTTGGGACTGTAATGATGATAATTTAGATTAATTGGTGTGTGGATGTTCCACCATGAGAGGAACTATGTTGAAGTATAATGAACGGATGAATGGGATGCTGGATGATTTTATGTGTTTTGTGTATTGGGACAGGTTGTTGAAGGCCCATTTTTAGGGGAGGTTATGCCGATTTTTTTTAAAATTTTGGCATTAGCTTGAGTCGTTACATGATTGCTTTAATCTTTCGACTTAGTGGGCAGGAGGGCCCTATGTCATGTGAATATATACCATAAAAGCATGCAAAGTAACATCGAAAAAGCACAAGCATTAACATAGAATAAAAAGAAGAAACACTGAACCATGGAATCACTTGCACCGCAATTGAAAAACGAAATGTTTAACAAATAAATAAAACATATTTGTATGAAATTCCATTCTCTTTTAAGCGGACTATATATAGATATAGATATTTATTTATTTTTTACGCGGACAGACTTTCTTATTATTCTAGAGTCGGCTTTTATCATTTCCCTTAAAGAACTAAGGTGGTATTTAATAAAATTAAATATTAAGCACTAAAAATTGTAATTACTAAAAATTAGCTCCATGCTTGCAAATAGTGATTGGAGTGGTGAGGCTGATCAAGATGTTCTGAAACTCGCTCTCAAGCCGAACCATGGCGATCTGAATCACGGTGTTGGCTTTGAATTGGTCATCTAAGATGGCGGCTGACTCTGTTCATAGTTGAATCTCATCAATGGCGTGCAAGTACTGATCAGCTTTGGAGCGATCTCCTTTGAAGATAGTTCCTTCTTTGGCTATTCCAGTTGTAGTAAAAGCCCACCTCAAGATTAATTCTAAGGCAAAAAGTGTTTTACTTCTACAGAATGTTAAGAATTTGAAAACCATTTTATAAAAATCTTGAATATAAAAATTGAATGGTAAGACAATCTAATATGATTCAATTCATTTCTATGTTTCTAACAACTTGATAATCGTTGACCAAACTTGAACAGTTTTGTTTAGCTGGTAACCTTCCACACATAAAGAAAGAGACTCTTGTTCTACCTATTTAATTCGCTCGCCTTGCCTCATCGGTCTTCACTATCTACTTGTTGAGAGAATATTGGGTACCCCGTCAGCTTGTCCACCTAGTACCCTAATCCAATAAAAACATGACAACTGGCTAACTTTCCACCTCAGCTTCTTACTCAACATGCCATTAACGGAGACGGCGTCAACCTCGTTTAAAAAAAAAAAAATTAGCCTTGACCGGATTAAGGAATCATCTTCACCATCACCGGCCCAACCAACCAGCAACCATCACCGAGCACAGAGCTCGTTCTCGGGTAGCCCAAAAATGTCCCTTATGATCTCGCCGAGTTGGCTCACCAACGAGTCTGAGCTAAAGACCCACAAGAATTAAAGATTTTGGAGCGATTGAGAGAGACCCAAATGAGAGAATTGCTTGAATCTGTACAGCGGAGTTACAAGACATACGCCATAGTTTTGAAGGTCAGAGCGCCGCCGGCGCCAGAGAAGATGGCGAGTCGCGCATCGGTCGATTTGGTGATAGTATTAGATGTGAGCGAAGCGTGATGGTAATGAAATTGCAAATGATGAAACGCGCGATGCAATTGATCGTGTCGTCTCTTTCGTCCGCGGATCGTCTCTCCATTGTGGCTTTCTCAGCGAACTCCAAGAGGTTGTTGCCACTGAAAAGAATGACGGTGAACGGCCGGTTATCGGTGCGTCGAATCGTCGACACACTTGTGGCAGGCCAAGGCTCATCGAGTTTCACCGACGCGCTGAAAAAAGCTGTGAAGGTGTTAGAAGACGTTCATGACGGGCCAGTCTCCGCCGGTAAATTGGCAGTGGAAAGGCGTCAACCCTCCGTCTCTGTTCCACGCTCTACTCGCACCTCGAGATCCCTGTACACGCCTTTGGATTCAGCCAAGGTGGCGCGTACGGCGACGCTCCCGCCAGTGACGCCTTCGCCAAATTATGGTCGGTTTACTAAGCGCCGTGGTGTAGGATTTTCGTCTGCAGCTCGGTTTCGTCTCCGGTTCAGCTCCGGCAAGATCACAGCGGTTATTCACACACCGGTCGGCCCGGCGCACTCGGATCTGGTTGGATCCAGCTTGGTGAGTTATATGCCGAAGCAGATAGAGATCTTCTGGTTGAATTGAAAGTTCCATCATCGGCTCTTGGGGCAACCACGTACGGTCGGTTCAATAATTTAGGTTTCATAATTATTTTTTTTAACGAAGCTGACACGTTCCGTTGGTGGCATGTTGAGTATGAAGCTGATGTGGAAAGTTAGCCAATTGTCATGTTTTTATTGGATTGGGATACCAGGTGGGACAAGCTGACGAGGTACCCTTGGGGTACCCAATATTCTCTCCTCCTTGTTCCTCTCCTTATTCGTTGCTGCCCACACATTTTCTTTGTAGACCCCACATGTTTGCCTCCAATTACTATAAAGTACCAACCATATACGGAGTATCACATAAATTCACATCAAGTACCATGAAATTGCACGATCTTTTTCATTAGCGTAACCTTTTTGGTACAAGCAGGGAGAAAAGTTGCGAGTCTATTTTCCACCACTATAGAAATTGAAATCGAAAGTCAATTTGATCTTTTCCCGGTAAGAATGAGAGAAATTATCCTGCATCTCCGTTTGATATGAATAATGAAAAATTGAATAAACAAAAAAAAATGGAATTAAGAAAGAAGTAAAAATATCTAAAAACAAATTTCTTTCAAGAATATGATATTGGATACATTTTTATTCAAAACCAGGGCTTATGGGTTACATCTTAGGTGTTCAAATTCAGGAAAGGTGTTATCTAGGCGGACATAAGATCACGATCTTAAGGTCCTCAACCGTATACTTAATGTATTTCTCTTGTTGATTCAGGTTCCCCAAATGGCTCTTGAACCGCTCGAAAAATGAGCTGTAAGCCCCAATCAGCTTCTCGGATATGGAATGGCAAAGCTCACTTCGGATGTGCCAACTTGGTACCACCCATTTGGCTTGATTCTGATGAACCTCTTCTAACGTAGCATTGAAGGTCTTGAATCTCTCTTTCAATGTAGTTTTGGATACCTTCAACGAAGCACCCTGACTCACATATAATCCTTCATCTCTCAGACAATAGAGGACCCTCTCCCAAGTCAATCCCATATAGGCATTCATTCGTAGCTGCACATTTTCGATCAACGTCTTCAAATAATCCTCCCCAACCATCTCTCCCAAATCCTGGTCCTCTTTGATTTTTTGCAACAATGTAGTGAACATTGTTCATCATGAATAATTGAGTCAAAGAGGCATCCGCGTAGCACTTGGATTTAGCCTCCAATTTGAATTGTAAAATTTCAATGATCCAAATTAAATGGACCACCAATGGAGTACTAGTACACGCATCAAGTTGAGCAAGTTTCACTTCTGGAATCGTCATATGATCACCACAAATATTACTCCTATAATCTGGCTTTGACACGATCAGTTTAGTTAGACCTTCATTGTAGTAAGCGAACTGAGTAATGTATTTCGTAACATATGTAGTCACTCTGTCAATCCCACCTCTCTGATCCTGAAAATGAGACTGCTCATGAAGCATGTCATTTTCAAATTGCAGTAGAGTCTCTCTTGCAGCTTTGGCAAGCTGTGACTGCATCTCAGCAGCCACAATTCCAACAGATTCTAATGATTTGGACTTAAAGATAATGTCAAGATCATCCCAAAGCTGTGCCAACATTTCGTGGAGGTCTAAAATTCTGAACAGCTTCTCCGGATGTCGTGATCTATCGCCTGCGCAGATGCCTAATGCTTTACCAGTCTCAAATAATTGAAATGCAGGATCTTTAACTGTTCCCGCAAAACAGTTACCGTCAATGCCATTTCCAAGACCTCCAAACACATGCTTACAAAGTCTCTTTTCGCTCACAAACAGAACACTAACCCAAATCTTAGCACCTTGCATCCACTGTCTGATTGTCCCCTCAAACGCTCCCCACTCCAAACTACGAATGTCACTCATACTTAATTTCTTGACACCGAGTTTTCGGAGACTTGTGTCCAGGAAAGTCTTCCTGACACTCTGGTACACCTCAACCCCCTTCTCAAGATTTCCAGCAGATTTCATACTCTGGGCGATGCTGCGAAGATCATCTTTTTTCACCGTATTCAACTGTACAAAATGATAGTCCTCATAGCTAGGACCACTATCGGTTACGGAATATGAGCTTGTGGAAGACTTACTTGGATTGTTGCCGGTTGGACTGGTGAGGCTGATTAAGATGACTCGAAAGTCGTTTTCAAGTTGAGCAATATTGATGGTGCTGTTGAATTTGCTCTGATCGTCTGAGATCGTTGTGGCCTCCGTCTGTGGTTGAATCTCGTCCATGACTGATTCGGATGCTGAGACAACATTTTCTGGTGCCTCCGTCTGTGGTTGAATCTCGTCCATGACTGATTCAGATGCCGGGACAACATTTTCTAGCGCCTCTGTTGCCTGTGGCTGTTTATATCTACGGAATTTGAAGAATTTGAAGAAATCCATCTTCATATATGCTTGTTATACATCAAGGATAAAATCTAATGTAGCAAGGAATTATAAGTACTTTAAAAACTTGGAAGTCCTTGGTGGGGATATATTAGGGTATTGAACGTGGTAATGTTCTAGCCAAACAAGGGCCGAATAGGAGTTTACGGTAACAAAGAAAAAATTAATGACAAGATAATAAAATACCGTACACACACAAATAAGATAAGGATTTACGTAGTTTGATTATGCCTACGTCCATAGAAAGAAGACAAAATAATATTTTACTATAAAAATAAAGAGATATAAAGTAAAGTGACTTACACCCAAAACTCAAATACACCCACAAGCTCTCACTCTCTGACTGATATTACAAATTCAATTGATGATTTCGGATGTTTTTAATTGAATGAGTACAAGGCTATTTATAGCCAAAAAAAAATACTTGATATCCAAGTATATTACAAAATGCCAAATGACACTTGTTGTTCAAGAATAATTAGGAAGTTTCATCATCACGTCTGTAAATGTATAAAAAATTTGATGTGAAAAAAAATATATATTGTTAAAGACTCAAGGGAAGACTCTAGTAAACTTCCCAGAAATCACATCACATATTCTTCCATCCACCTACTTAACAATATTTTTTTTATTTTTATAGAAGATTGTCCCCATTCAAGCAATGGAGCCACTGATTGGAAATAAAATCATATTTAAGCACAGGATCAACGTTCTTAAATGAGGCACACATCACTATGATTGTGATATATTACACTTGTATATTTTAAATGCTGAGATGATTGTGTGTGTTTATATATATAGGGTTAAGTGGATTAAATCCCCTTCAACTTTCTTCTCTTTTTCAATAAATCCCCCTTAACTAAGTAAAGTACAGTTAACTCCCTAACTATTTCAATTGTTGCAAAACGTTAGTGGTCCGTTTAAAAACTATCGTCCAAAGAAGGCACATGACTCACGTGACTAGGTTAAAATCAATAAAGACAAAAATAACCTTGAATGTGTAAAGTTCGCTAATACACCAATGTATCGTCAACGAAGACCGAGAGGAATAACATATACAGACACACACACACACACACACACACACACACACACACACACACACACACACACACACATATATATATATATATATATATATATATATATATTACCTCCCTCCTTTCTTTTTAAATAACCTACAGCATCTGTCCATGGCCGTCACCTCCACCGTCCGCCCATGGCCACCACCGCCACCGCCACCGTTCTCTCCCCCACATAATATTTTTCTCTCACAACCACCTCACCGTCCACGGCTGCCACCACAACCGCTCTCTTCCCAATCCGCCTCCCTCTCTTTAGCCTCTAACTCCAGCAACAACAAGAACTTCAATACCGGTAAGAAGTGGGTTTGTTCTGCAGCGGTAGTGACAGAGGTGTGCGGCGACGATGAGCTTACCGGAGAACACAATGACTATTCGTGATAGCGGCACTGAACCATATGGGCAGACGGCAGTGAGTTGAACTGAAACGGCGGCTGCAAGCGAGGATGAACCCACGGGACGGCGACGATTGTTCTTAACGATGGTCGCGGATCAAAACGGTGGCGGTAACGACTGTAGGAGTCACGAAGCTTCAATGAATTACGGCAATGGTGGCGATGAATTTGGAAGATGCCAGTGAGCTTACCAATGAACAATGGAACTGAACTGGATATGGAGATTTGAGATCGAGTCACCTGAATATGGAGATTTGAGAGCAAATGAGAAGGATTTGCTGAAAATCAATGGCGAACGAGAGAGGATTTGCTGAGACTGAAAATTAGGGCTTCAAATTTGGGGGTTCTTGGGATATGATGAATATATATATATCCAAACTCAAGACCAAGTCCTCATTTGCAATTTCTTAGGTTCGTTCTCAGCATATGATGCTCTCAATGGTGAAAATGATTTCTTTCTTCAGGCCAATTATGGATGTATGAGATTTTGATAGCAAAGACTACGAGAATGGTCTTGTTTTGAATGGTGCTTGGACTATAACTAATAATTTATCTTCCCTACTTTACGAGTTTTATATCTGGGAAAGGATTGTTCTTAGCATATTTCCAAGGTGCTATATAATAAACAATTTGCAGTGATTACTAATGTTCTTTGAACCGTGAATTCAGATTAATTCCGTCGGAAAAAGGTCAACCGTCTATGTTTGCCGATCTCCAACCATAACAAATAAAATATTTAAATGGAGAGAGACATGCACCAAATCCAATCAATCCCAATATACAACCAATTTAAATTGGAACCCATTTTCATATTTTGATGTTATTACTTCACAATTTCCTCTCATCTCCTTCAATTTCTTGTTGGCCCCAAAAAATACCATTGACGAGATGGACACAGAGAGGAGGTGGTGGTGGCTGCCGATAGAGAAGAATTACAATTATTATATATATATAATTCTCCACTAATTGAGTTGTCATTCTCTTATTGGTAGAGAATTGTTTTTGTCCACTTCAATAAAATAATTCTGAGTTGGCCCATTTTCATTGGACATAGAGATTACAATTGTTACATCAGCCTATCCAATAATAATAATAATAATAATTTTTTAAAAAATAATAATAATTCAACACGAAGGGCTAAATGGTAATTTTCATTTTTTATTAACGTCTCCTTGACGGTTCTTGACTAAATGCAACAAAATGATAGTTTAGGGGGTTTTACTTATTTAAAGGGGGTTTCTTGCAATCGGGTTATAATTGAGGGGGGTTTAATGCACTTAACCCATATATTATATATGCATATCTATCTTATTTGGTATAATACGGATATTTCTTTTTAATTATAATATTGGGCAAAGTACCAATTTTCTTCCTGTTCTGGATTTCTTCCAAAAGAAAATTTATTTGTGCAAGCCTACCTTTATTCAAAAATTATTTATGTGGGGAAACCACATCTGTTCTTTTATCACAGTTACATTGCATGTTTATGCTCCTCTGTGTAGTTTGATCACAATTAGAATCTTTTAGCTTATGTTATTCAACATAAAAAATTTATTATCATATATTACGTGAATAGTTCGTAATTCTAATCTTCACTGTTTAAATAATAATTATGTGATTATAAGTAATCTGTCACATTGTTACTAATCGAATTCTGATTACTGTTTAAATAGTGATGCTATTATTTAAATAGTGATTCTGTAACGACCCTAAACTGATACCATTTATAAAAAAAAAAAAAAAAATTCGACATGACCTCCGCTAAAAGGAGTCTTACGACAACCTGCTTAAATGCATAAAAATACAAAGGTCTCTCTTGAACCTTCAAAATTTATCTAACCTGTCCCAACACAATACAAATAATACATTCCAGCATCCCTTTCATCCATTCATCCTGCCTCAACACAGTTCATCTCTTGGTGGAACATCCACATACCATTTAATCCAAATATCGTGATTATAGTCCCAATAATACATGGTTAAGATCTAAAGTCTACGTCTTACAACGTTTAGACAACATATAATAAAATTACAGCCCATAAATATAATTATAATAACAAGAGTTCACAAATCTTTATACCAAATATAACAAACTAAGATTTTACAAAAAATATGGGACTTAAATACAAAAATAGCAAAACTATCTTCTAATCCAATTTAGACCTGTGGTGGAACGTCATCCGCCACTTCTTTTCCGTTTCTTGAAAAAAAATGTTAAATAAAAGGGGTGAACAAAATTGCTCAGTAGGTGGTGCATAAGACACACCTCTTGTGACCCCGTGAATCCAGATAATGAATAAAGACAAGGAATAGGGATCATTCTAAGCCAGGGAAAAATACAACATAAATTTCTCAAGTTCAAGACTAACAAATTTCCATGCCATGAATGTAATGTTATGCATGTTACTCCCCATTTTCAATTCACTTCAAAACTTCACTTTTCAAACCGTTAACGTAACGCGTCCCTCGGTACTCCCTTGGCGACACGAGAGAAGGATTGGCCACTGTCCCTGACCCTTGGTAACCCCGCGGCGTCATTTGGGGCCCAGTTGGCTCAACCACGCTAGGGCGATCTCCCTAATTCCTTCTAGGCTACTGTGGAGGGAAAAATCTCCCTCCAATTAGAACTGTACACGTCATCGCAATGTAAATACTCATCACAAATGTCAAAGGCCCATCCTGCTCAAAGCCCAGTCCAAGCTCATTGACAGCCCAAAATCATAAGACACTAACCCAAGGTCGCAGATAATTGATCTCTGTAGCATTGCTCAAGCCCGAAACAAGAGATCCAGCCCGTTAGCAATGTCACATGGATCAGGTTACTTATAGCCCAAATCTATTGAAAGGAAATTAGTCCTATTAGAAGAAGGATACAGCAAAGAAAGAAACTACTACACAAGGAAAATTATACAAAGGAATGAGCTCTATTTGTAAAGAATTTCTGTAAGGAAAGAATTGGAGGACAAGCAATGCGAGTCCTACCATAATTCAACCAATCTTTTGTGTATAAATTGTAATACCCCTAATTTTAAAAGGATAGTCCTCGTATTTATTTTATTGTTTCTAATGCATTTTTACTTGTTGACGTGCATATGTGTTAATTTTATTGCTTTAATTGTGGTTTATTATTTACTTGTTTTCTTTGTTGGGGTTCTTTGTTGTGAGTTTAATTGAATTTACTTATTTAAATTGTTCTATTTTAGTTAGTGTAATTATAGTAATTATTTGGTTGTTTTAATTAACTTAATTAGAGGGTTATTTTAATTGATTTAAGTTTAACTGATGAATTGTTTAAATGTATTTATTTTATTAAATATAATTGTTTTCTAAACTTAACGTGACTGTAGGGTTGGTTGCATGTATGGTATATACATAAGTAGCCGACATTGATATTATAAACTAGTTGGGTTTTATGGGCCGAATTTCAGTTTAGGATTTAGGTGGACTTAGATTTAAAGTAGCCTATAAATACATGTAGGGCTTCAGTTTAGGGTTTGAGAACCCAATTCACGGCATACAG